CTCGTTTTTCAGACCGATGATCTTTGTAAAAATCGTTTCAGAAAGGCGGGGCATAGAGGAGAAACAATAATGTACAGTATGTGGAAAATAATGTGTTTTGAACCTTAAACCGCATAAACGCATTTCATTACACCAAATACACAAAATAATGTTCTTTTTAGCAACATCATATGACCCCTTTAAACTAACTTTTACTAATTAAATTGGTTCCTTATTAAATTACGTTTTAAGACATTTGGTTGAAAATGAAGTAAACTGAAGTGCATTTTCAGAGGAGAAGCGGCGTTTGGATCTAGATTTCTTCCAAACATTAATGGAGCAGATCCTAAAAAACGAGAAAGATAAGAAAAACAAAAACAAAGAGCTCATCAAGTTGGCTAAAGCGCAGAGGAGAGTCCAAAGGAAAGTGAGAGGTCAGTTTTTTTTTTTTTTTTCTGTCCATCTGTTTATGATGTTCTCATAAGTTCTCATGCACAGTTGCACTATTTTCTGATGCAGCAGCTAAAAGAAAGGAAATGGACTCTTCATCGGATTCAGACAGTGATGTGGTGGCTGGAGAAAAGGAGAATGAGGACCTCTCAAATGATGGAGGAAGTGATACCACTCCAAAGAAGCGCAGAGGAAGAGGGACGAATACTCCAGACAGGAGAATCAAGAGGACGAATGGAGAGGGTATGCAAGGAACAACTGAGAAAAAAAAAGAAAGCATTTTCATTGTCTTGTAAAAGTCCAGATGAATTGGAAATAACAGCCTATGCCTAATGAAACTTTAGTGCATTTTTATTTAAAACATTTTTTTTTAATTATTTAATTCACTGGATGTATTGTTAATTTGTGTTTTGTTTTATGTTATTTTGTTGTGATTGTGATGCGTTGTATTTTGGGACCCCCTCGAAAATGAGATGTTACATCTCAAGGGGTTAATCCTAATAAATAAATTCAAACTCAAATTCAAACTTTTAAAAAAAACACATTTCATGTTTTGTAGCTGAAATAGATGAACCGGAGGACTGTGAAAATCTTACTTCTGATGGCCAGTCACAAGATGACAAGTAAGAATGAACCCAAATATATTATTAAAAGGTTACAGATAGCTCACATTATTCAGTTTAGAAGTGCATTTACATGTACACTACCATTCAAACGTTTGGGGTCAGTTCGATTTTTTTTTTAAATGTTTTTGAAAGAAGTCTCTTTTATGCTCACTTAAGCTGCACTTATTTTATAGAAATACAGAAAAACGATAATATTGTGAAATATTATTACAATATAAAATAACAATTTTCTATTTTAATATATTTTAAAATGGCATGTAGTCCTGTGATGAAAAAACTAAATTTTCATCAGCAAAAACATTAGTTTTTTTTATAATCAGTTTTGAGCACTGTTGTGCTGCTGTTTTGTGAAAACCATGATGAATTTTCTTTCATGATTCTTGTTGAATAAAAAAGTTCAAAAGAACAGCATTTATTTAAAATATTTTTTCTTTGCCCAATAAAAGTATTAATTAATTTGAAAAAAAAACAACAACTCTTACTGAACCCAAACCTTTGAACTGTAATGCAATTTCTGCACTACTCGTGCAGTTATAATTTATAATGTTATAAGACGATTTGGGGGCTGAAAATGAAACTTTTTCTAGTAGATACAAGAGTTCTGCTATTAAACCAGCTCAGCTCAAAGGTCGACCGCAGAGACCGATCCCAGACCTCAGCCGCAGATGGGGGAACAGGTGCCCTGTGCCGAAATGCAAAGAGAACGGAACCTCAGTCGGGGAGGAGAGTAAGATGGACAAGTACCCCAAGGTGACGTTCTCAGCTGTTTGATGTGATAGTTTTATGTGTATTACTGTACAAAGTCATTTTTATCTGCCTGTTTTATCTAATAAATTGTATAATTTGCTCTTTTTAGGTGCCTTCAGCCTCTGTAAAAGAGAAGAAGCAGTCTGCAGTTCTCCTTGAACTGGAAGATTTAGAGGAAGAAGAACCTGACCTGTGCGCTGTACAAGAACAGATATTCAATAAACCAACCAGGTAAGTGTGAGAATCTTTAGATCATTTTAATAACCGTTTAAGGATCTCAATGCAACTGTGCATTTTTGTAGTATTATTTATATACTGTTACAGTATTTATTAATATTTTGAGTTGGGTTTTATATATATTTTATGGGGGGGTTTGTTTTTATTTAATGTTTGTTTTAGTAATTTCATGTGCTTTTGTCATTTAAAAAAAAATAAATTTTGATTTCAGATTAGTTTTGAGTAATTTTAGTACTTTAACTTAAACTCTACTTATTTCAGTTAGTTGCCTATGCAGAATTTCTCATTTCATTTAAGTTGTTCATTTAATGTCTATATTTTATTTTGTTGCAGCTTTACTTCTATTGCCGTACATTATTTTAAATATTTTTACATGCAATGCAGATGTAATTGTGAATAGATCCAGAATCATGTGATAAACAAGTATGATTAATGTTTGAATCAATTTATTTTATTTTTGATGATCATTATATTTTTTGGCATTATTCTGTGGTCTTGTTTTCAGTTTTGGTTGTCATGCTAATTATCATTTCTCTTTTATTTAGGTCAGGAAGGATCCCTAAGCTCTCTCAGCATGTAATACAGGCAGCGGCAGAGGAAGAGGAAGATGAGGAAGAGCTCTCTGATCTTCCTGTGTTTTCCAAAGTTCGTGGTCAGGACATTAAGGCACCTGGCTGGAGAGCTAAATTAAAACCAGGTCCCAGATTGAAACAGGGCATGCCTAGAAGGGGGAAATCTAGACTGGTGACCTTACTGGCCTCTGGAACTGAAGATGGTGATGAGGAGGAGGAGGAAGTAGAAGAATCTGTCCTGAGCCAGGAAGACTTCCCTTCAAATCCTGAAGAGGAAAACCAGGCGTTTGTGCCAATGAGTTTACGCCATCTACCTCCTGTTAATTCAGAGGTGGTAGAAACCATGGAAGAGGTATGTTTATGTATTATTATAAGAAAGAGGACCCTAGTGGGACCACCTTTATCACATATTATTGCCATCAGTCTGCTTGTTTTTCATAAATTATGTTATGGTTTTCAAAAAGTGAGTTTATTTTTGTTTTGCCATTTTGTTCATATTAATATCTGCATGTCATATCATAAACTCACAACCTTCCTACCTTTCATTGTCCTTCCCTCTATTGTGATTCATTCCCATTGTCTCCCAGCTGGACATTTCTTTGAATGTGCCTGATATCCTGGGCACATCCCAGAATGCTTTGTGCCCCGAGTTGTCATGTGATCAGGGCACGGTGCATGTTGGCCAGTTGGACCTGCTTGTTGTAAGTCTCACCAACATCATCTATGTCTCTCGTCACATTTGACGCTTCCTCTGTTTACTGTTGCTGTGTCCATCATAAATGCACATACATTTTCAGTAGCCTCTCACTGCAGAACAAAGATCCAGGGGACGGGGTTGGATCCACAGGGGTGGAGATGGCAGGTTTAGGGATCAGGGGAGATGGGTAGGTTTAGGTATATGTAAGGTGGGAGGAGTTGGATCTGGATCCAACCTCGCCCCCTGGATCTTGTGTTCTGCAGTGAGAACCATCTCTACATTTTCCTTTTTTTTTGTTTTCTGTAGTGAAATTGAATTTAGTTTCTCCACTTTGGAATTGGAATGTTTTTGTAGTGTTTGATGAGATGGTACTAATTTGTGTCTGATTTGTTTTGAAGGATGTCATTTATTTATGATAATTTTGTTTCATTTCAATTTACATTGTTGTTCAAATAATGAAAAAAGCATTTATGAGATCAAATTGGGCAAAAAAAGGCACTGATAGAAGTCAAATTTTTTAATTGAATAAAACTATTTATTTATTTGTTCATTAATTTATTATGTTAATATATATGATTTGTTTTATTACAATTTACATGATTGTTTAACTAATAATAAAAACAGTAATAAATGTGTTGTTCCTACTTTAAATTATATATTATTATTATTTCCAGTATTTTTAAATTACTTTTACATTAAGAATATGTATATTATGTTATCATGCAAACTTTTAAAAATATTGTGTGATTTAAATTGAATTTACATCCCCCCACCCTACATGCAATGCAAGTATTTTGCCCAAAAGCTTTACTATTCTGGTGGTTAATTTTTTTTTTTATACATCTTTCTTTTAGTATGTAGAGAGATCAACAATGAAGCCGCTGAGACTCTTCTGACCATCGGGAACTCAGCTCAGATGATCCAGACATCAGAAATGCCCTGTACAAGTAAGAATAACTTCATAGTTCAACTCTTATTTCCTTCAGTCCAAATTTACTTTTTTCCTTTAAATCAGATCAAGAAGATTGATTGATCAAAATCTTTTTCAGGTGGAAATGAGATTGTTGTACATGAAGAGGTCGTCCATGAGGAAGTTATCACAGAAACAGCTGTCATGTCTGGTTCTTCTGTAAGCTGCGAATCAGAGACAAAAGGTGACGTTGAATTTTCGAGCTGTGAAACTCATATTCCAGAACCTTCTGCTGAAGAAACCTCCACCCAGAAAGAAGAACCAATCAAATCACAGACATCCGATGCTCATCCTGCTCCCATTCAACATGAGACACAGTTTCCACCAAGCAAAAGAGGTCGATTCTCCAAACCGAAACCTAATATTGGTCAAGGTTTGAGAACCAGACGAGCTCCACAGCAGCAAATCTCTCCAGAACTTGTCACAGGTACTTTGGGGACCTCTAAGGGTCCGGCTTCCACAGAACAGGATAAACATGCAATGCAAGAAGGCGGTGTTCCTGTGGATCCCCTGCCAGACTCCTCTACCATCCGCCCTGAGGTACTACAGCCGGATACATCATCTGAAAGAAGAGAAGACAGTCCCAAAGTCATTCCTGAAAGAGTGACTAAAGAAGATAATGGATCTGTCTCATCTTTGAAGAGAAAGAATGATGATATAATCACAGAGGAAAATATAAAAGAACAAGAAGGGGGGAGATCAGAACCACAGCTGACTAAAAGGTATTAAAAGTGTCATATATATGGCCCATTTATTTAGTTTTTTAAATTATTTATACGTTTTTCACTGATAGTGCTAGTCAGTGTTCTCTCTTTTGTGGTGTAACTTTTTAAATGTAATGAATTTTTTAAAAATTAATAAATACAATGAATAGAACCGTTTGCATATTAACATGGTTCCTTGAATATCTAAAACCAACACTTCCAATGGCAACAATTCAGATTCCATAATATGAGACTGATATTTAAAAATGTCTGTATGTTGTTTCAGTGTGAACGAGTCTCAGAGCACATCAGTTGAGCCTTCTAAACCTGTCAGGAGGTACCGCGGACTCAAACCTCAGCCAAACCTGACTCAGACATCCAGACGCGCACAGACACAAAGCAGCACGACATCAACCACAGCAGGTAACAGCCACAATTATGTTTTATCTATTATTTATCTGTAACTTTTTTTATATTTACCTTTTGCATATATATTTTTTGTATTCATATTTTTTAAATTCTCATTCTCATTTTCATCACTGTGATATGATTGTTAAAAAACAAAAAACAAGCAGAAATTAACATAATACCATGTATAAATTATTTTAACTTTTTAATAATGTGTATTTTTTGTGATTACAGCAAGATTTTTTTTTAAACAATTGGTTTCGAAATGTGCTTTAATGTTGCAAAAAAAAAAGATAGAAAATTTCAGTAAAACCAGGTTCCATTTTATTATGAAACATAAAATTGAATGAAACTATTTATTTATTAATTCATTCATTATTGTAATATATGATTTTTTTTAGAATTTACATGATTGTTTAAATGATAACGATTAAAAAACTTCAAATCTGTGTTAATCCTACTATAAATTATATATTATTTCCAGTATTTTAAAATTACTTATAAGAATGTTCATTGTTACCATCCAATCTTTTAAGAATATTGTGTAAATGTGATTTATTGTCACAAAAATAATGATTGAACATTTTCTTAAAATTAAATCCAATTTATTATGCAACATATAAGTTAATCATT